ATTCTTGCTATAATATTTTAAAAGTAGATTTAAACTTTATGTAAAAATCTCAGTTAAATATTCAATAAAGATAGAGGTATGGCCTCACCATTAATATTAAAAAAAAAAAAAAAAAAAAAAAAAAAAATGAACTAATTAGAATGCTAAAACCCAAAACAAAAAATACATTATGATTGATCAAGTTTTTGAAAAAAAATAAATAGAACAAGAAAAGTTTATTGTATTTTAAAAAAACTTAGCACAAGAAGAGCTATAGCAATCAAATGCATAATGAACAGCTTATTAATACTTAAAAACTTAATAGAAAAAGACCAGAAATATATATAACAATAAAGTGACAAGTATAACAAAATAAAAAAAAACTAGCAATTTAGCAAGTTGTAGTAAACAAGAAAGTCAGTAAAAGCAGATTCAAAAAAAAAACAATAGCAACAACATGAAATAGGCTTAAAAAAAAAAATATTAGAATTCTGTTATAAGTATTATATAAGATATTATTTAGAGAAACATAAGCAGAAAAAATCATAAATAGAAAAGTATTGATAAAAGAACTTACTATGTTAAAAGTAAAAGAAAGACTCAAATAACTATTAAACAAATAAGCAATACAGAGGTGTATAGATATAGTAACAAGCACAATATAAAACATCTTTTACAACCAAGTATGAAAAGTACAATGTAAAAAGATACAAAAATAAAAAAGATCAACATAATAAATAAAAATAAAGAAAGGTGCTTATGTAAAAAAAAAGTTAAAGAAAAAAAAAGATAAATAAATAAAGGAAAAAAAGAATAGAAGTAAAATAAAAAAAATGAATTAAATAAAAAAGATGTTTAAAAACAATTAATATGCTTATTACTAAAGAGAAAAAACTTTTTTGATATAGTTTTAAGTAGTTAGATAAGCAGTTTATCTCTAACTGAGATAGTGTAACAGATTGTATTTAGATACTAGTAGGGTAGAAAAGTAATGCTAAACTTAAACATTAAGAAATTCTATATAATTGCATATATATATAATTTCAAGAATTTTAATAAAGTACTAATATAACTGCTTAAGATTGAAAAAAACAAATAAATAATAATAATAATAATAATTAATAAAAAAATTTTATTAAATAAAAATTTTTTTGTTACAAGAAAATTTTAAACTTTATATTATATTTAATTTTATATTAACTAATAAAAATATTTTATAAAAGAAGTGTAATAATCCTCTGCATGTAACTTTTTATATTATTTTTTTCAGAAGATAATTTGTAACTGTTAGTAAAAATTATAACAAAAGAATTCTAAAGAATAATTTTTCAGAAAATTTTATATATGAAGAAACTTGATAAGCATTATTTAATATAGTGAACTTGGTTATCCAGAAAATTACTAGTAATAACAAACCAAGAAAATATTTAATTAATAATTAAAGCATTTTATTTCTTTATATTAATACTAATATTTTTTTATGTTATTATAGAAATAAAAAAAATTTTAGCAATTAAAATTTATCTTAAAATTTTTAATTCTGCAATTAAAAATTTTAAGATTTAAGTTTTTAAAAAATCAGAATCAGATAAGTAATAATTCACAATTATTATTATTGCTATCATCTTTATTTTCTTTTAATTCATTATTAACATTATTATTCTTTTTATTATTTTCATGACTTTATTGGCTTTATTATTTTTATTGACTTTATCAGTTTCATTATTTTTATTGACTTTATCAGCTTCATTATTTTTATTATCTTGCTGAAGACTTTTTAACTATATGTAGCATAATAATCTGTAGTTTTTATAATAATGTTTCTATTTTTACAGTAAAGAAAATATTTTTTTTTTTTTATGTTTTAATCAAAACTTTTTTTATATTGTATTAATGGTTTATTTAAGGTTATAATGCTTTTAATTAATAATGTAAAAGGGTAAAGGATTAATTAATAATATTCTGGCTTATCAGAGTTATTAAATTTCTTTCTAGGTTATGTTAATAATAAGTCATACTGCTACTTGAGTGGCTGCTTACACAGCTGATCAGTAACAGTATAGCTTATTGTTAACACAATCTAGAAAAAAATCCATTAATCTCTAATAAACCAAGATATTATTATTACTAACCTAGTGAAGTAGTCAAGTTGTCAACCCTTCAAGTAGTAATTTGGATATTTAAATTCTATTAACAGTAAAAATTTGAATAATCATCTATATAATATTCATATTATGGCAATTGTTACTAATGATTGGATTATAATACTTATAATAGTAGTTACATCAGCATGATTGGCAGGTTATAAGGCATCTGTATAAGTATGACATTACACAAAGAAATGCAAACTAACAATTATACAGTGCAAATACTAGATAAGTTCTTGTGACTATATAAATCTGTTAAAATTGGATAACTAGAAGTCTATTTAAGAAAACTTAAATAAAAAAGTAGTTGAATCTTTAATGGTCCTACTGTAAAGACTAGTTTAAGAAAACAGATACCAAGGTTATAATATCTAGATAGGTAAGAATCTTTAGATTAGAAGTCTCAGAGATACTAACTAGGCCACTAGAATGAACTAAAAAATAAGAATATTGAGTTAATCTAATATACTGCTAGACTAGTTGTAGTTCTATATAGACTATCTGAATTGAGAGTCTGATAAAAGGCAAAGATATACTAAATTACTAGAGTTATGCTGTAAAGTAGATGCTGAGGTTTGAGTAAACTCTACAAGAGCATAGTGATTAAATGATATAACTTTGAACACAAATATTAGTTTTATTATAGCAATACTAGATTAGTTGTAAAAATAGATACAGAAGTTTCTGAAAGATTTATCTTAAGGATAAAATAGTTTTAAGATTGAAATGATAATCTGAGCATTTAGATATGTTTTAGTAATATTAATATAAATTGCAGGTTCAGAGAGTTTAAAGTAAAACACTCAAGCAAAAATGTTAGATACAGTAATTGATAAAGAATCTTTAGGCAAACTCTTTAAATAAGTAATATAGAAAAGTTATATGTATAGCCAATTGTATACTTTTCTGTAGTAATTTATTAAATTACATTATCTAAAAAGTTATTAATAAAAGTCAAAAGACCAAAAAGGGCATCTTAATACTAAAAAAAAAAGAAATATATTATAAGTTGTTCTCTTTTAAGTAACAAGTAGAGATGTTAAAATGTTGATCTGGTCCAATCCAGTCTTGGAACCTAAAGAGATAATTCTGGACCTAAATTTCAAAATTTGATTCCAGGATCAGATCCTTTGAATTTTAATCCTCAAAATAAGTCTGTCCAATCAAATTTATTTTAAAAAAATTTTTCGATCCTTTATACATTAAAAGTTTTTATTATCTAACTTAGCAATCTTAAAAATTAGAAGCCAAAAAAATAGCATAACTGACAAATAAATAGTAAAATAACTAAGAAAAAAAAAAAAAAAAAAAAGGCAAAAAATTTGCCAAATTATATCGAAATAAAATATAAACGACTACAGTATCCTTAATTCCTATATTCTTTTACTATATAGTGTAGCAGTCAGTTTAGTAGCACACAATTTTCTAAAGTTTTTTTATGATTTTTTGATTTTTTATGATTTTTTGATTTTTTTTAAATTTTTTTTTTGATTTTACTTGATTTTTTTTATTTGATTTTTTTTTTAATTTAGATTCTAAACTTCATTTATCATATCTGATAATTCTATATACTAGCTCTTAAGGCATAAAGATGCACATGCTGTCTCAGGATTAAGATGATTTCAGATAAGTGTAATTGTGTATTTAGCGATAGAAAAAGCTTGTTCAGATGGCACACTTGTCACTTGCATTGAGAGATAATCCATTACAATTCAGAATAATTTAGAATACTGTGCTGAATTTGCTTGCCATCATGAGAGCAGTTCTACTTCTGTATTGGGTTCTTCCAAATATTTTACAATTTCATTTGGATCAGTATAAGTTATGCAGTTGGTAATAAGCCTACAAAAGAAGCTTCGAGCTGATTTATTGGTAATTATTTTAGTTGGTAGTAGTAATAGATTATTTTCATCTGGTTTATATATTTTAAATATTTGATAAAGTGTACTAATTGCTATTTCACGATCCTCTAATTCATAAGTTTCAAGTTTGGTATATAGGTCAAAAAGATCTGAAATTATTGACATCCTATTTATGAAGTAATGTTAATACAAGGTTAAGTGATATAAGAAAAGTATCAGTGTTATATAAGTTTAGCTATTATAAGTATAACATACCTATTTATATAGCACCAATATAATGCAAGTTTTATCTTAATTGCATTGGCCACTGCAGATTGAGTGATAAGTTCTAGATTTGTATATTTAGCCAAATGCCTGAGGAGACTATAAAATATAATACATAGGTCACCTTGAGTAGGAAATACTGAAGATGATAGCATTACAGTTGCATGATATATAGGCTCAAGAATAATCATTAAATCCTGTAATTTATATATATTTATTTAGTAATTATTAGGAATAGTTTAAAATATTTAACAATTATTAACCAATACATTGTTCTATTCTTGCTCTGTAGGGTAATTTGAATTTAATGTCTTAATACTCATAACAAGAATATCAGTTATGGGGCAAAGCTTATAGAGTTTTTCTAACATGAGATACATGCTATTCAGTAGGTTTTTACATTAGCTTTAGGCATTAAAAATGAAACTTTTTTCATGTCACAAATGTTTTTTAGGTTACAAAATAACGAAGACAAGTTTCAAAGTTTTATAGAAAACTTATGTGCTTTGTGAATTTCATTGCTAACTTTTTTAATTCTTTCTTTTATATCGAGATTCAAGATATGAGCTCTGCAATAAAAGTGTTATAAGTTATTATTTTTAAATTCAAAAATGGTTTTTTGTTCTAAAATATTTCCTATAGAGATCATATTGGCTGCATTGTCAATGGTAATGGCTAAAAGTTTCTCACCTATATTCATTTCTTTTAAAATTTTAATTATTAGATTGGCTTGATTTATTGCAGTATGGCTTTCATCAAATAGTATGATATTGAGCAGAATTCAGCGCAATCTCTATATAGAATCTACAAAGTGTGCAGTTACTCCAACGAATGGCTGCTTGTTACAAGATGTTTATCCATCCATAGTAATAGAGATTTTTGAAGAAACATTATTTAAAATTACTTTAATTTTATCTCTATTTACTTTATATTTTTTATTGATCCAATTTGATAATGTTTGGCAACATGAAGGCCTGTAATATAGATCAAGTTCTTGAAGCAAACTTAAGAATTTAATGTTTTCAACTAACAAAAAAAATTGTTGATCGACAACAATCCATTCTAATAATTTTTTATTTAGAAAATCTATTCTTAGTTTATTATTTGGACTATACAGGTTAAGGCAATTAAGTTTGTGTTGCTTGATTATTAAATAATACATAGGATAAAATTTTTGAAAATGCTGATTAATTGTTGTAAGTGCTGTCAAATTACTGAATACTTGTTGACATACTTTACATCTATTACCTTTATTAAAGGTTGTTGTTAAGTAGTCTCTAACTAGTGATTAGCTGTGCTTTGACAGGGATTTATGTTGTTGGCCTTTTACATCACTTAATGACGAAGATATAGTTTTTGTACTGAATTTGTATTCGATTTCCATAATTTTTTTTTGTTTAAATTTGCCTAAGACATCCATATCACCTTTATATAATTAAATGATATTTATTTAAAGATTGAGTTGAGATACATTTTAACTTTTGACAGCATTCTGTCTTTGTTGTATAAATAATGTACTGTCTTTATTATTAAGATTCTAATTGGAGAAAAGTGTATGATCTTTATTATTAAAATTTTTACTTTTGCTATCATCGCTTTTGTCAAATCGACTTTTATTAAGATTAATTAAACAATTGCAAATGTCATATTTTTTTGAAATCAAGTTGGTAAAAGGTATTATCTTTGTTATTACCATAATGTAACTAAAAACAGATAATTTATTTTATGCCAATGCTGCCTTTTTTTATTAATATGATTAAAATTTTTTATTTATTTTGAAGGCATGTCAATGCCACCTTTGTTATTAATTAATATGATTATAAAAAAAAATTTTCATTAAATAAAAAATCAATTGTTAATGTTAACTTAAAGGCTTATCACCATGATTTAAATAAATTTTAAAGATATATAGTCTTTATTATTAAGATTTAATAAGGTAAATATTTAACTTTTTAAAGACATGCCACCTTTATTTCAAAGATTCAAATTGATTAAGTTACAATTTAAAAAGAACATTTCATTATTTTCATTATTAAATATTTAACTTTTAAGGCATACTGCCTTTATTTATTAGAGATTTGAAGGTATACAATACAGCCTTTGTTGTGATTTTCGGGAAAGATGACCATGATTAATGATTTATATGAGAAAAATTTTTTAAGACATACACCTCTTTTTGCATATTAGTGAGTAATTACTTTATTATTTCATTATTAAATATGCTAACCAAAAATGTCTATCAAGGATCATATCTTAGGATTTATATAGAGATTTTGATCTGAGACCGAAGTTTTATGAAAAAATAAATTTTTATTATGTGATTTAAGGATTGAATTCTGACTGATCTCTGCAAAGATCAGTTGGGATTCGATTCCAAAAGACCAATTAATATTCCTAGTAACAAGTTTAGTTTTCAAATCCTACTTATAATAAAATTTAAAAATTCTACTTGTATTTTTTTTTTTTTTTTTTTTGGTATTAAGGTGAGGTTTTGCCTTTATCTTTATTAATAATTTGTTACGGGCAACTAC